ATGAAAGGAACCCCAACCAACCTAAATCATCCTGCTGGTGAATCCAAAATATAGACTTCTTTGTATACCACTGAATTAAAAACTAACTCAGGCCCAGAAAACTTGCTCAAATCATATACCGAAAATGAATAAACATTGAAAATTTCTCCAGATCTGTGCAGTGCCAGAAAACACCTAGTGTAATTCTGTACTTTGAACTCTTTGAGATTGTTTTATCTTCTTAGTTTCCCTCAGTAATTATTCTCCCTTTGCCTGAAGGTTTATTGCTAACATTAATGTCACATACTAACAGTAGGGGAGTGACAGAATCGATTCTGAATCTTCTCAATTTAGTTGTTTTATATTGGATTATGAACCAGTTAAGTTATTAAAACTTAAGTGAACTGTAACATCTCTCTGTTATATCCAGGGAACATTCCAGCCACTGGGAAGTACAATGGCTGCATGCAGTATTCCTAGGCCATGACTTTACTCAGGATTTTCTCAGCAGCAGTGATGAATTAAGACATTCTTGCACCCTTTAGTTCTGCCAAAATGAGGATCAATTCCCTATTCAGCTCTTCGCATTTGGCCCCAGTGGCCCATGAGCAGTTAAGCAGAACTCACTCCTGAAGGGCCTATTCCCACCCCAGAGCAGCTGATTGCTGTGATCCTTACACCATGGACCTACAAGCTGCTGCTCTACACCTGAGAGCAAAGCAGGGTATTGAGTCCATCGGTCACCACTGCTGCGGAGAAAAGGAGGGAACAAGGTACGTGGAACTGCATCTTCATCTTGAGAGGCAAGGTGTTACATAAATGTAACATATATGTTAGGAAATTATTATGATGATAATATTTTCAAAGTGTCTACTCTAATCAAGGCCACACATCACCTACAGATTCCAGCTGTGTTCCATTTACAGAAGCTCAGGCCTTCCAAAACTCAGAAGCCACATGGGGTGTACCCTGCAGCTCAACCCACTGCTCACATCATCCTCCTGTTCCACAGCTACAGCACAGTTTTTCTACAGAATTCCCATCCTAAAGAAGCTCAGTGGTCCTTCACCAGACCTCAGGAGGGTATATACCCCTTTGCTAACACCAAGCCTGTCTGGAAGCTAATCCCAGAGCTGTAAGAGGTTTGTGCCTCTTTAAAGGACTGCCAGAGGAGCTGGTTAGAAGGTCCCTGCAGTAACACCAGGAGATCTTTACCTATTTTTATAGCATTACATCTTGTTATCAGACATTTATAAGCTTTCATGGTACTGAAGGATTTTGGATATCACATCTGTTACTGATTTAAGCTACATTGAAGTTTAGTTGTTGCCTCTAATAAGTGAAAAAAACCCCAAACCCACAATCTAAAACCAAAAAGCCAACCCCACACTGCTTTATCATTCTAGGATCCTGGTACTTGTACAAAGGCAACTGTAGCAGCAGAAGCTAATTACTATGATGCAAGGAAATAATCTCAGCTTGTACGAGTTGTTCTACTGAATGAGCAGAGTTAACACAGTAGAAGTTAGTTATATATGTAAATACTGTGTGGTAAGCTGCTTAGTAACCAAATCTATGCTTTTCAGCTGATTTAAATTTTGACATTTTCAAGATAGTATCAAATAATCTTGAAATTGGTTTTGAAATATGCTTGATCGGTTTGAAAATCGAATTAATACAGCCAGCTGTATGATAATTATATTTTGGGTAGGTTCTGCTGAATTGTAATGCTTCCATGTTGCCCAAACTGAGTTTGCTTCAGGACAACTTTCATTAATTCCTGAGAGTATAAACCGTGGTACCAGTCAGGAAGTACAACAGCCCAATACAAGGTGCTTCATAATTCAAAAATTATGTGCTGAATACTCTTGTGATTTAACTTACACATCTAAGCCCTTGGCCAAGGATTTTCAACCTTTTCAACTGGCAGGTCCCCTTAGTGGCCTGTAGTCATGCACAGAAAATTAATTTCTAACAAAACTAGACTTGCTGCTTTTAGTTACTTCCCTCAGACTCCTTGCCATTACTTCATGGACTCCTAATTTCTAAAAGCAGTACTGCAGATTAACTAATTAACTGGCTGGTAGCAAGCAAGAATAAATTAATACATGCAGTAAAGGACTGGGACTTAAGAAATAATACTTCATAATTAAAATCAACAGTGTAAATATAATTTGTTACTTGGAACACTATATTTCCTTCTTCAGACAGCAGCAATTAATAGCATAGGGTAGGATGAAAAAATACAGACAGTAATTTTAATCTGTCACTGAAAACACCACAACTCAACAGTTGATTGGGATCAAAAAGATTGGATTTAAATCAACATTACAATTGTTTGGTATTTATAAGACCAGCTACTGCCATGTTAGGGGAAAGTACAATGTCAGGAACATGGAGGTGGGTTTGCTGTAAAAACCCACACAGTGCCCAAAGCCTCAGAGCAGCAGAAGCAAAGTGTGTCAGCAGAACAAAAATATAAATATTTTTGCAGTGATGCCGTGGCCTTTCAACCAACTTTTGCAGCTATTTTTAAAGCTAACTTTGCAAGCTCTTGCTGGCTGGTGACTGGTTTTGGCTGGCTTACAGGAAGGTGGGAGTGCCCTGTCAGCAGGTGATGTGCTCTGCCTCCAGAGTCTTCCTGGAAGGGGGAATCAGGGGGACAGTGAATTGAGAAACAGGAAGAGGTTGGGAAAGGACTTAAAAGCCTCACAGTGAGCTCAGCTATTTTGTTTCCAAACCCAACATCCAAGCTTGCCTATGCACGAGTTGAGCAGTGCTTAAAAGGGAACTTATAGATGGAGTATGATTTTAAAAGTACAGGCAGAGGTCATCTTTACTGCTTCAAAGAACTGTAGTACTGCTCTGGGGAAAAAAAAATGGCCTACAGGTCTGGCACAAGTTAAGGACAAGGTGGTTAGCAGGCAGAGTCTAGAACAGAGACACAGCCCAGCCCTCAGGATTCAGTACAATATAAAATACCTGATCAATCTCCACACTGATCTGTACAGCACCTTGACCTAACTGCAGATCAGCCTGCAGCTGATGAATTCCACAGGTGAGTGAGAAGACTTGTGCACCTGGGAGCAACCAGGCAGAGCAGCATCCCACCTGGGGACTCTCAACAAACAGGTACAGGCACGACCACACCTACAAACTGAATATGGGGACTGCCAGGTTCCAGACATGGTATATTTCAGAAAGTCACGGCCCACCACCATGATTCCATCCAAAGGGAAGGTGCCATCCCTTGTTGGAAGTCACAGCAAGACTCAATTTAAACTCACTCCACAGGGAGGTTGGTGGAATGCAACGTTTGTGCACTTGAGGAGAAGCTTCATTTGCAAAGACAATACAGGCAATAGCAGAAGGGGTTAGTTTAAGCTCCTGATGACAGCAGAACACCAGAGATGGGGCACTCACCAGAGGGTCAGTGGAAAAGCAGTGCTTGCCAGAGATGACCACGGGGATGCAGTCCAGTTAGAGCCAGTGGAGTGAGTCTGCACAGTGGATTCTGGAAAAATAATTCAGGTAGAACTTAGTCTCTTGTGAAAACTGTTCAGTAACAACAGAGTGCTGCTTACAAAACTTATTTCAAATCCTTTTGTGTTTGTTTGGAACAGCCTGCTTCCACAGGTGCTGTGTTTAAGTTAGGTTTGTACATGTGAAGGTGGGGTAGGAAGGACCTACATGCCACAAGGACTTGAATGAACAGTACAGAACCGGGTAGGATATAAAAGCAAAGGGTGGAGGATGGCAACATAACCAATGACATTTTCTTGAAAGGAATGTCTGATTGATAGGAATTCCACGTAAAGACGTCTACAAACACTAGCAACTAACCAGCCCCGTATCTGAGCTGACGTGAAGGTGGGGTAGGAAGGACCTACATGCCACAAGGACTTGAATGAACAGTACAGAACCGGGTAGGATATAAAAGCAAAGGGTGGAGGATGGCAACATAACCAATGACATTTTCTTGAAAGGAATGTCTGATTGATAGGAATTCCACGTAAAGACGTCTACAAACACTAGCAACTAACCAGCCCCGTATCTGAGCTGACCAGGCTGAACTGCTGCTTGCAGGGCCACGAAGTGCAACCAGCACCAGCACCCGGCACCT